TGAGTACGCCTGGAGTGCAGAGTTCTAGAGAGGTAGTAGTGAGGAAGAAAGCTAGAAAGGTACACAGGTCCCAGGTCCCAGAGGGCCACTTAAAATGTAATAAGAAGTTTGAACTTTAGCCTAAGGAAATGGGAAGCCACTGAAACATTGATGCAGAGTAAGTTTTAGAAGATCAACCTAACTTTAGTGTGGAGAACGGTTTAGAAGGAGGAAGAGTGAAAAGTAGAAAGCCCAGTTAGGTGATAAGACCAGTTAGCTTTCATAGGCAACTACTTTAAAATAGTTGAGTTTTGTTTTTCTATTCAGTCTACAATCTTTGTCTCTTTGTTATTGGTTTCCAGAGGTTTTACTATGATGTGTCTATGTGTGGTATTCTTCGTATTTATCTTCAATGGAGTTCATAGAGATTCTGGAATATGTGGCTTGAGGTCTTTCATTAGTTTGGAAAATCCTTAGCTATTATTTCTTCAAATATTGCTTATGTTTCATTCTCTCCTTTTGTTCTGGGACTTCAGTTACATCAATATGTGGCCTTTTCCCTGAATCTTGTATGTCTCCTATGCTTGTTTCTGTATTTTTTATTCTTTTGTCTCTCTGTGCTTCAGTCTATATATTTTCTTCTGACTTCCTTCTTGTTCACAAATTTCTCTTCAGCTACATCTTCTCTGCTATTCGATCTATCTGTTGAGGTCTTAATTTAGGTTATTGTATATTTAAGTTTTATAATTTCACTTTAATTCTGTTTTATTTTTTAAATTTTTTATGGCTTCCACATCTGTGCTGAAACCTACTCCCCCTTGTCATTTAATTTCTTGGACAAATAATCACAGCAGTTTTAAAGTATGTCTGATAACTTTGGATTTGCTGTGGGTCTGTTTTTATTGTCTGATTTTTCTTTTTAATTATCAGTCCATTCTTATTTTCATAAGTATAATAATTTTTTTTTTATTTTTGGGCATTGTGTTTTAAAAACTGTAGAGGTAATCTGAGGTTCTAAGTGATGTTTTCTTCCTTGAGAGAGGATTTACTTTAGCTTCTTACAGGCAGTTGGAGGTAGGGTTGGTGATCAACTTAATCCAATCAGGCATTGAGCTTTTTGAGAAGGTGTACCTCAATCTTTGAGAGAACTAATCTATTTTTGGTCCACCTTCCAGGGTCACCATGAGTCAGAATTGACTCAACGGCAACAGGCTTAGGCTTTACAGAGTTCTCAGCTGTTTTAGTTATTTATTGCTGTATCTCAAACTAATACTTGTGTCTTAAAACAACAATAATTTATTATTTTTCATAATTCTTTGGTTTGACTGAATAGTTCTGCTCCATTGGTGTTGGCTGGGGTCACTTGTAAAGCTGCAGTCATCTGAGAGCGTGGCTGTGGCATCTCGGTTCTCCTCCACATGGCTTCTCTCTCCATATAATGTCTCATCCTCCAGAGCCTATCCACATGGCCTTTCTCTCCATTGGGATAGCCTGGACTTCCTTAAGTATGAAGGCTGGGTTCTAAGAGGGAGAATTCTAAAAGTGTGAGTCTCAGTGAGCAAGTGTTTATCAAATCTCTGTTTGT